ACATTAATATATTTTCTTTAAAAATTACTACATAGTTCTCAATCTCACCTCTCTTCCCTAGAAAAAATAAAAATATTCTTTTCAATACTCTTCTAATACTTCAAAACAAAGGAATCATTCAAATTAAGCCTCTTCACTGAAATTGTTTGAGAACTTAATTATGCTTTTGTTATCTCAGGACAAACAGACTAAAGAGTTGGTCAGGGAAGGACATGGGAGGCATGCCCTACTTTTTGACCTTGATAGTACACTGTTCACTATGTGATTATCCGTTTAAAAGTAATATATATTTCACCCAAAATTAATAAATATGTACTTTTAAACAGCTTCCTTTACAGAAACTTCTCTAAGTAAAATAAACTAAATAAAGATCTAAATTTCAATGTATTCATTCTAACTGTCCTTTTTAAAGAGTTTAAGAAGCAGCGATGGAACAAAAGCAAAAATAAATCAGTACTTGCTTTACTCTTATTTACATCTTTCAAGAAAAGTCTCAATGTGGACAGACTTAAAAAAAAAAAAAACATGCTTTCAAGAAAAGCATTAAAATCAACATAGTTTAATACTGCAAATTCCCTCTTTTGCTAAATTTAAAGATTATTATATACAAAGTGAAAAAGGCACAAATTCATTTCCTTTTCTATTTGGCTTGAATTTCCCAGGACTTTAAAGTGTCTAAGGAAATGCTCTCCCATGGTGTCCTTTATCTCGGACCTACAGTACTTTCTTTCTATTCCTTCCCAAATACATTACTATGCCTTTATTTGTACCAAACCACCTCCTCTGGTGAGTACAACGAAAGCTCTGATGTCTCCTCTTCATTCTGCAGTTTCAGCTAAGCTTCTGAACAGTTAATATTGTACCCCTGCTCGATCTGCTGAGAGCACACTCCTGGAATACTGATTCTATTGCTTAAGGCCATTTCATAAGTCCCCCAAACAGACTGCCATCAGGACCATTTCTCTCTCCAGGGCTGGCAGTTAAGGACCATTCTACTTCCAGCTAGCAAGGGGGCAGTTACTTCCTGGCAGTGCGTCTTCAGGTCAGCATAATGTTAGCACTGCCTATGGACAAACAAGTAGTATTTTAGTTTGTATCTTAGATTAGAAACGGAATGCTGAGGGGATACTCTCCTATCAATTTGGCTTAGGTCTTTTTCACTCAAACACCCTCCTTTCAAAGTTCTCTGTCAGTGTTCTATTAAAAAGCCCACCATAATGAAACATGTTTGTTCCTCTTCTGGTTTGAAACACACGGGAGAATTATTATTTTATTTTCAGTTCTTTCAAAGTCCTTCTTGGGGTAAGAAAAGTCTTATTTTAACCTGAAATAACCAAATACCTGCAGCAACTCTCAAAAGAGCTGTACAAAAAAAAAAAAAAAAAAATGTGGCTGCTTCTTCCAAAAGTCATTAGAGCTCTTTCCCCTTTTTCTTTGTAAGGTACCCAGGACACATAATTTTGCATCGAGCCAAAAGACCAATTCTCTTCACTGGTTTTTTACTTTCCCCCAAAAGAGTTTCAAGAAAGACGAGTCCATTTGTGGAGTCCAAAAGGTGGGCTGCTATAACTACTTTACAAATACAGTTATTACCTCTTTTTTTTTAAATATATTTTATTGATTTTGTACAGAGAAGAAGGGAGAGAGATAGAGAGTTAGAAACATTGATGAGAGTCATCGATCAGCTGCCTCTTGCACACCCCCTACTGGAGATGCGCCCGCAACCAAGGTACATGCCCTTGACCGGAATCGAACCCGGGACCCTTCAGTCCCCAAGCCGATGATGCTCTATCCATTGAGCCAAACCGTCCCGGCGCAGTTATTACCTCTTATGTATTTGGGGAGGCCATATGTCACCTTTATTCTCAAAGAAAAGTTAGTCCCTTTGATTAAACTCGGGTGAAAGATGGTATTTTCTGGAGTAAAATATTGGAAACTATACCAAAGGATGTTTTGTTATAACTATCTGTTCTGAAGGGGTCTCCTCCATACTCATAACTCGCCCCCATCCTTTTGTGTTGTGAACTGCTGGTTAATCATCTGTACCCTCTCACAGACAGGAAGCTCCTAGGGGCAGAGATTGTATCATAATGGCCGTTTTATCTGCAGAGCACTTAGTCTGGCAGATGGCACACAATTAGTATGTGACAGTATTAAAATCAGCTCAAAAGTCCAATTCTTAATTAGCCATAGGTTTAGACTAACTGGCCACAACATTTATGGAACAAGTTTGTTTTGTTTGTTTGTTTGTTTTGTTTTTTGGTGTTTGTATTTGTGTGTTATTAGCCCCCAAATGCCTAAGGGCTTGTGTTTTATTTTTTATTTATTTATTTGGTTAATCCTCACTTGAAGGTATTTTTTTCCCACTGACTTTTAGAGAGAGTGGACGGGAGGAAAGAGACAGGGAAAAACATCGATGCAAGAGAAACTTACGCATCGGTCGCCTTCCACCCGAACCCGCCCAGGCCGGGGATCAAGCCTGTGACCACGGTGTGTGCCCTTCACTCACCTGAACCCGGGGCTCTTCGGTCCCCAGGTCGACACTAACTACTGAGCAAACCAGCCAGAGCTACGGAACAAGTTTTAATCAGACATTATTACAGTTTAAATAGATATGCCTACTTTCAAATATCTAATGATCTCTATCTAAACACTGAGTATCGCCATAGCTGGTTTGGCTCAGTGGGCAGAGCATTGGCCTGTGGGCTAAAGGGTCCCAGGTTCAATTCGTATCAGAAGCAAGCCTGGGTTGTGTGCTCGATCCCCAGTGGGAGGCGAGCAGGAGGCAACCGATCAATGATCCTCTCTCATCATTAATGTTTCTATCTCTCTCTCCCTCTTCCTTCCTCTCTGAAATCAATAAAACATATTAAATAAAAAACAGACACTAAGTATCTTTATGGGAGGCAGCAGGAACAATTTTAATTTGTGGGTTTTGAATTTTTGTTCTGATTCAAACTCCATTACTAACTAGCAATAACCTTTTGCAAATCACTTTAACCTGGTTGGATCTCGTGTCATCCGTGTGGATCGGGATTAAAGAAATAATCTCCAATTACCCGAGGAGGCCCAGTTCTAAAATTCTGATTGGGCATGAACCAATGCGGGTACTGCTGCTGTAGATACTAGATACAGCAAGGCCTTGCCAACACTAGAGGGAGCTACACTTATGTCATCCTTGAGCTGATTAGGGAGATTTTAATACAAAGCATCTTTAATTGGAAAACTGACTTAACAAAGTGAAAGAAATTAAATATCAAGTGAGAAATCCATAATGTTCATACAGCCATTCCCCCCTACACACACACACACACACACACACACACACTCTCTCTCTCTCTCTCTCTCTCTCTCTCTCTCTCTCTCTCTCTCTGCTGGCTCTCTGCTGGCACCTCGCTCTTACAGACATCAAAGCACTTCATATCAACATATTGTCTGAGGTGTGTTTTTTTGTTTGTTTGTTTGTTGTTGTTTATAATATATATATATATTTATTTTATTTTATTTTATTTTTTTTTTTTTACAGAGAGGAAGGGAGAGGGACAGAGAGCCAGAAACATCGACGAGAGAGAAACAACGACCAGCTGCCTCCTGCACACCCCCTACCGGGGATGTGCCCACAACCAATGTACATGCCCCTGATCGGAATCGAACCTGGGACCCTTTAGTCTGCAGACCGACACTCTATTCACTGAGGCAAATCGGTTTCGGCTCCTCTGTGTTTTTATTCTAATTCCAAAAGAACCAAGTTGATTTGAATCATTCCTACAGATTTCTTTTCCCACTCAGTCTATTTTCCTTCTTAATCAAATTAACAACAGAAAAGCAGTAACTATGGTACCGGAAAGTCTCCAAGGAAATGAGATAGAGAAAGATTCATACCACACTGAAGCTGTGGCCTGGGAAAATCAGTAGTTAATTGCAACTAAATTCATTAGCAGCCTGTCACTCAAACCCAAAGGTACCATAGATACTTTGAAAACAAGAAAAATATTCAAAAAGGGGAAAGATACAGTATAAGGAAAAGAAGGAATCAGCGTAGCTCTGCAATGTGGGAGCTGGAATGCCTGCTTAAGTGAAGTCTGTCATTGCTCTGTTGGGCTCTGCGGCTGCTGAAGAGTGATGTCATTAAGTAGAAGCAACTGACAAGAAAACTGTCAAGGGACAAAACGAGATAAGGGAATGAAGGCCTGGGTAGGGAAGAAAAAAAAGAAAAGTATTTCCAAAGCTAAAGCTGATTACATGCATCTTCTCTCTCCCAGCTCCAAAGAAAACATCCATGGCCTTGCAAATGTATGACCTAAACCATTACAGAACAAGTGAAATGCAGAATCAAAAACCTATCCACTGGTATCAACCTATGTTTCTCTTTGCCCAGAAAAGCAATGCATTTTAACCTGATAGAGAAGACATAAATTGTGACCAGTAAAGAATGTGGTCTGTGGAAGAAAGATAAATGCAATCCTGAAGAGCCCTTTTATTTAAATTTTATGGATTAATTTAACACGGAGAAAGCAAAGGCTCAACAGTCAGAACTAAACTACCTATATTTTAGGACATGAGCTGTTCCTGAGTAAAAATAGATTATGAAACAACTTTGAAGAGTCACTTTGTGGGAGAAAAGAAAACTTACTAGAACAAGACAAACAATTCTATTTTCACTTAAAAAATGCAAACTCAGACCTCCAAAAATAAAAATAACAAGAGTAAAACTCACCAGGTTAAAAACCAACTTATTCCTATGGATCTAAGTAGTTGGATTCTTGTTGCTTAAATCATCAGTTTCAAATACTCTAGAGATACTACACCCTTAACAGAGTCAAAAAGGTTTTTCTTTTAGGATATTAAAAAAAAATTTTTTTAATAGTCCTTTCAGTCAATGAGCCTCATGGGAAGCATAAGAAAAATATACTTTACTGTTAAAAAGAGAATGACTTGTTTTCCTTGTTTATTTCGGACACATGTCAATGGATTTCTAATTCGCTCTCTTTTATACTGACCTTTAAGATGTTTCTGCCATCAAATGATTCTCTTTCCTTGAAGATATATTTGCCATCTGCTGTGTGGCTATTGTACCTGCCTTCAGCTGTAAATATTACAAAGAAAATGTCAGAAGAGAAGCCTGGACCATTTATGTTTGTTTTCTCTTGGGTTTCTGTAAGTACAACTAGCAAAATCTCCATGTACTAACTGGAAAGTGGCATAATATGGAGGGAAAACATCATGGTATTAATCAAGAGACCCAGTCTCTAGTCTTAGCTCTGTCATCATCACATTCAGTATATATTTACTCATTCAACATTGTTCAAGCAGTCATTGTACATCAACTATGTAACTAGCTATAGTCTTAGTCAAGTATGTCCCCTCTCTGGGCACTCGTTCCTCATTTACAAAGTTACTGGGTAAGACTGGGTGATCTTCAAAGGCTCCTCGCAGTCTGAAAACCCAAGATTCTATAAAAGCTGCATGTTTTTTAAATATATATAAAAATACACAAAAGTTCACACATTAGCTAGTCAAAAATGCTGGCAACCATGCTTTGGGTTGATTTGGGAAACACCTCCTAAATGAGGAAGACCCCTTTCGTTGCAATCAAAGGTATCCTAATAGACATTCTACACAGAAATGTAGCAAATCTATGACCTTAGCCTCATCAAAGCTGCGCTCTAACTCCTTGATTTAATTTAGCTTGCTTATCCCAAAAGATGTCCTTAAAGGATAGCAAGAAAAGGAATATCAAAAGAAAGGGATCACAGGAAAGAAAAACATAAAACCTTATTCTATGTCCCTTTCAAGTAAAAATTCAACACGAAGAAGAATACAGGGTATAGAAAAATCAAAGCATCCTCAAGAATTATTTAACTCTGAGGATACTTTCCAAAAATAGCAACCCTTTCCCGTCCTAAAAACTATTTGCATTTCCACTTTTGAATATGGTTTTTTACTGTATATAGGTATGGGGATTACCAACTCAGAATTGATAAAATATATATATTTTATATTTTGATATAATATATATATAAGTCCTTAAATCTTAGTCCTTAATAAAATAAAGTAAAAACCAGATTTAAGGACTAAAATTTAAGTGCTAACTCCATGAACATAATATATTTTAGCTAGCCCACTGGAATTATAAATGGGTAACTATGGAACTATTTCTCTAATTAAAAGTATTCTCTTAATCAAAGCTCCCAATTCCATTGATATTTTACAACTTAAAAATAAATCCCCTGTTAAGAGAAGATGTGGAATTTTAAAGTAAATCATATTAAATAATTATCTATTAAAAACAGTAATCATATCTTAAGATTGAAATGTTTAATGACAGTTTCAAAATCTGTAATAGCATTAGCCTTTAGGGAAATGATAATAAAAACCACAATGAGATACCACTTCACACCCACAGAATGGCAATAATAAAAAAGACATAATAAAGATGTAGATAATTCAGATGCCAATTCTGATTAGAAATAGGTTCTTGGGAGCATTTTATAAACTAAAAAGTTGGATCCATCCCTCTACTTTGGAGTCCCTTTATGTTGATTCAATCCTGTTTAGTATCTTACTTTCTACTTTCTGAGGTTCATTTCTCCAAACCCAAGCTTGCAGAGCAGTGGAAATGGAGACTACCTGGTATTCCCCTCTCGATTCCCAGGTGGAATTTCTACAGCTCAGGAGAGAGATGAGGTATAAATAAGGACCTTGAGTTTAAATGGAGTAAGTGGCAAAATGAGAACTGCCTAGAAACTTATCATCCAAATTAGCTGTCAATCCAGTATTTTTAAGTATATCTGCAAGTCATTTCTTAACACTTCTGAAGTAGTCCACAAGTGATTAAATTAAAATCAAAATAAAAGAATTACTGAGTTATAAAACAACACTAAGCATGGGATTTTGTGCTGGTATCTTTTACACAAAAGGTCTTTGAAAAAGAAGCTGCATAGAACTTGAATTTGTGGCTGATGAGACAGATGCTGAATGTGTTAAAGACGCTTTCACTCGGGGAGGGGAAGTAGAAAGAAAAGAAGATCCTTTTTGAAATATAGGGTTAAAACAAGGCATTTTTATAAGAAGCCTCAGATTCCATGAGGGGGGAAAAGTTATTACTCTAACAAAAGGTTCCTCAACCTTGGTGCTGTTGACATTTTGGACTGAATAATTCTTTGTTGCGGGGTCTATACTGTGTGTTGCAGAGGGTTACACAGGATCCCTGGCCTCTACCCACTAGATGTCAGCAGAAACCCACCCCTATCCTCCTAACTGTAACAACCAAAAATGTCTCTAGACAATCCCATAGATCCTCTAGGGCAGCGGTTGCCAGACTTTCGGACCTCACAGACCACCAGCTGGCGACCATTGCTCCAAACGTTTCCTTAAACCAACAGTCGCCAACCTTCCGGACCTCATGGACCACCGGATGGAGACCACTGCTCTGGGGACAAACTGCCCCTAGTTGAGAACCACTGGTCTAATATTTACTTTTACCAGCTAATCTTCCTTTCTTCTTTCTTCTTTCAAAATAAGCCAGCAAGTATTGCATGGGACAGTCCTAACCAGTTTGGCTCAGTGGATAGAGCATCAGCCTGCAGACTCAAGGGTCCCAGGTTCGATTACGGTCAAGGGCATGTACCTTGGTTGAGGGCAGATCCCTAGGAGGGGGTGTGCAGGAGGCAACTGATCAATGTTTCTCTCTCACTGATGTTTCTAGCTCTCTATCCCTTCCCCTTCCTCTCTGTAAAAAATCAATAAAATATATATATATTATTTAAAAGTATTGCATGGGTCATACTTATACTAAAGTAATTGTTCATTGTTTACCTAAAATTTATCTGGGCATCCTGTATTTCTATATGCTAAATCTAACAACTCTGTGTATGACAGAAACAAAAGATTAGGAATGCCACAATCTCATGCTAGACATGTCCCTGCACACTTCCACTGCGCTCATTTAAACAAGCTAACAGATCAAAACAAGAAGATATATCAGAAATTATTTTATAGGCCAAATCTATTTAAACTGCAGAGGTTATATCACTCGGCCTTACCAATGACAAACTGTCCTACAGTTCTGTGGACTTACCATTGGGGTCTTTCCTTAATAGGGTATTCATGACGGTAGCATGGAGTTTCACACTAGTCCACTCTTTCATTATTAGTCCAGATGCTTGAAAACGTTCTAGAACTCGATCAACTAATTCCTGCAGCCTGGTGAAATGGAAGAGAGAAGTACAAAAATCTTAGTAAAACCACGAGCCCCTGATTACTAATTCAACATCTATGAAGCACCTGCTCTGGTCAATGCCAGGGGGTGGCGCAGAACATGGTGGGTGTTGGCAACACAGCGCTGGCAGCAGGTGGCAGTGGAGGCATTGATGGGCCTAACAAGAGGGGGACCACACCAGGACAGTGGAGCAGGTGAGCGAGTGGCACCAGGTCAAGTGGGTGCCAGTGGAGCCCAATTGCCGCACAGACGATGACCAGTGGTGGTGGTGGGGTGCCTGGCCCCAACCAATTGCCCCTCAGGCAGGATAGTGGAGCAGGTGAGGGGGCGGTGCCAGGCCAAGGCAGGGTGCCAAGCGGGGCTGTGAGGCTGGGGACATAAATTGGGGCCTGATCTCCACAGGCCACTCCGAGGGACCCCACCGATGCACAAATTCATGTACCAAGCCTCTAGTAACTACATAAAAGAATATTTACAGCTGCAATTGCATGACTGATTCCCTTTGTAGACTCATGTCAGGTGGCTCTAAGGACTACAGGGTCTACAGTGGATGGGCTCTATCTTAATGATGGCCACTCATTCTAGTACCTCCACCAGAAGCAATTTCTGCATTGGAAGTCTCCATTCTGTCCAGGCATTTTACTCAACAGCGTGGAGAATGCCCTTTAACACTTCCTGCAAGGTCAGTCCAGTGATGATGAATTTCTTCAGCTTTTTTGTCGGAAAATTCTTTATCTCTCCTTCAACTCTGAAGAACAACTTTGCCAGTAGTTCCACCAAGAGGGGTCATTATCCCAGCAAATATGTGGTGGAGAGGATCTTGGTCCTAGGCCTTCGAGTCAGCCATTGTCTGTGACCACCCTCGCACCTGATGATAAAATTAGCCTGTGGCTTTTACATATCATGCAAAAACATCCACCCTGAGCCCAAACAAGCTCTCATTGAACACTGGCCCTGACTGGGAGGTCACATCAAAAGACAGAACATACCCTAGCCGGTTTAGCTCAGTGGATAGAGCATTGGCCTACAGACTGAAGAGTCCCAGGTTCAATTCTGGTCAAGGGCACATGCCCAGGTTGCAGGCTAGATCCCCAGTGGGGGCGAGCAGGAGGTAGCCAGTCAGTGATTCTCTCTAATCATTGATGTTTCTGTCTCTCCCTCTCCCTTCCTCTGAAATCAATTAAAAAATTTTTTTTAAAAAAAGATTGAGCCAAAACCAGTTTGACTCAGTGGATAGAGCGTCAGCCTGCAGACTGAAGAGTCCCGAGTTCGATTCTGGTCAAGGGCATGTACCTTGGTTGCGGGCACATCCGCAGTAGGGGGCGTGCAAGAGGCAGCTGATCAATGACTCATCGATGTTTCTAACTCTCTATTTCTCTCCCTTCCTCTCTGAAAAAAAATCAATAAAATATATATATATATTTTTTTTTTAAATATATTTTATTGAATTTTTTTTTAAATATATTTTATTGATTTTGTACAGAGAGGAAGGGAGAGAGATAGAGAGTTAGAAACATCGATGAGAGAGAGTCATCGATCAGCTGCCTCTTGCACACCCCCTACTGGGGATATGCCCACAACCAAGGTACATGCCCTTGACCGGAATCGAACCCGGGACCTTTCAGTCCCCAAGCCGACGCTCTATCCATTGAGCCAAACCGGTCCCGGCAAAATATATATATTTTTTAAAAGGTTTAGCAGTGCACGTGGGGACAGAGGGGGGAGGAGCCTGCACCTTTCAACCTTTCCCTGGCCTTATTTGAGATTTGTGCTGCATACTCATTGACTTTCCTGGATCAAAAAAATATTTTATTAGTCACTAATGTGCTAATGAACAACAGATTTCGTATTTTTTAGATTTTACATTTTCAGATGTACTAGTACCATACATCACCTCTTTTATTGGATTCAAGTAGCCTTGAGACATGTATAGAGTTCATGAACATGAATTCTTTAATGCTGAGTATATAATTCCAGAGATGACTATTACATTAAATTTTTTAACTGTTAAAGTCTTTTTTCTGAATACACAATTCCAGGTTGACCATTATTTTCTCTAGAAAATATGTGGTTTTGGCTTCTGTTGTTGATCCTGAGAAATCCACTGTTCTTATAAGGTCAATCCTTTGTAGGTGATTTAGGATTTTTCCTTTAGTGTTCTGCAATTCCATTATGATTTATCCTGATATGGATTTCTTCTTATTTATTCTAGTTGTATTTAATCTTTTCTTTTCTTTTTTTCATATCTATTGCTACTGCCTCAATCCAAGTCCCTTTAATCTCTTCACATGGCCATCTCATCTTACTATGCCTCATCCATACTTGGAACCTGCTAGGCTTTTTCTTATCTCAGGGCTTTTGCTCTGCATTTTCTTTTGTCTGAAACAAAAGGTGAGGAGAGCCTTTCCACTTGCCTGTAAACTCCTTTAGATCCCAATTCAATATCAATTCCTTAGAGAGGCTTTTCTTGACCCTGCCCATCCCATCATAATATTTTCTCTCTTTAGTAGAGCACCATTTCTCCCTGCTTTGTCTTTATCACACTTTGCAGTTATATATTTGCTATTTGTTAACATCTGCTTTCTCCACTATTCTGTCAACTACATGGGGACAACGGCTGTGTTAGGCTTTATTCCATTCTATATCCAAAGCCTAGCACAGTGTCTGGCACAAAGCGGGCATTCGATATTTTTTGTTAAAAAAACAAATGATCAAATGAAAACCCAACTTCCTTTACATGGCATGTAACAATGCTTCTAGCATTGCACTTGCAGATGGGGAAGTCTCGGCTTAGGTCCTTAGCCAAACTAGGCAGAGAGGAGGCCCAGAAAAATGGGAACATTCTGTTCTAGTTTCTGTACTGGCCCAGGGGACAGAGACAAGAACGGGGTTTAGTACAGGAGAAGAGGGTGACCTGCAAACTGGGGAGCCAGAATAAAGAGTGAAGCAGTGTGGTTGAGCAGAGTAGAGGGAGAGGAGATGAGGAAGAGGGAGAGAAGGGAAGGGAATGGGAGGGAAGAGAGACGGAAAGGGGAAAGGGTGGGGAAGGGGGGAGAGGAAAAAAATAAAAAACTTGAAGGCCTAAATTAGGAAATATTCACTAATTTATTTCATGAAACACTGTAATTCCATGTATATTTTTCTTATAACTTCATGTTAACTGCATAAGACCATCACAGATATTAGTCTTACAACAATAAAGTTTATACTAATACTGATAAAAATTAAGTAAATTCCATAACAGAGGATAAGGAAACAAATTAATAGCTGAGTGACTATGATACCCTATAAAATTATAAGGTAAATCAAGGAAATTAAAACCATGGCTTTAATCATTTAAAAAGTGAGTCAGCCCAAAATAATTGATAACAGTTCTATAGCCAACAGGTACAAACAACCCAAATGTCTATCAACTGATTTATAAACAAAAGTAATTCCACATAATAAAATATTACTCAGCGATAAAAAGAAATGAAGCATTACCTGGCCAACTTAGCTCATTGGTTGAGCATCGACCTACGAACCAGAAGGTCAATGTTAGATTCCCAGTGTGGGCACCTGCCTGGGTTGCAAGCTTATTCCCGGGTGGGGGGCATGCAGGAGGCAACAGATCAATGATTCTCTCTCATCATTGATGTTTACTATCTCTCTCTCCCTCTCCCTTCCTCTCTGAAATAAATTTTAAAAAACACTACATATTAAAAAAATAAATGAAATATCGATACATGCTACAACAAGAATTAATCTTGAAGACATTACGCAGAATGAAAGAAGCCACGTCTCTAGATGGTTCTGGTTCAGTGTGAGCTCTGTTCTAAGTTACCTTAATGAAAAGATCACACAAAACAAACTAACTCAAGTTGGGTTCCTCTGCTCACCAAGTTCAGTTCCTCTGCTCACCAAAACCTGCAATGGCTCTGGATGCCTAGAAATAGCCTCGGTTGCAGGTTGTGGTAATAAAAATGAAAAATAGTACTTTTAAAAAATATATTTTTATTGATTTCTGAGAGGCAGAGGGAGAGATAGAAACATCAATGATGAGAGAGAATCACTGAATGGCTGCCTCCTGCACACCTTCTCCTGGAGATCAAGTCTGTAACCTGAGCATGTGCCATTTACCAGAATTGAACCTGGGACCCTTCAGTCCACAAGCCATGCTCTATCAACTGATCCAAACCCACTAGGACATAAACTTTTTTCTAATTCTCACCCAAGGACATGCTTATTTATTTTAGAGGGAAAAGGAGAGAGAGAAACATCAATGGGAGAGAGAAATATTTATCGGTTGCCTTCCCAAACATGTCTTGACTAGGGATTGAACCCACCACCTTTTGGTGTACCGAACCTCACTCCAACCAAGTGAGCCACACCGGCCAAGGCTAAACACTGGTTGATGTATGGTTTGATGAGTTAGTATATATGCCAAGCATTATTCTAACGCATTTTATAGATTAATTCAATCCTAATAATCTTATGAAATTTATATAGCTATCATTCCCATTTTGCCTGAGTATTTACAACATCTGCATTATTTCACTTTTGTAACTAACATAAAATGCTACCCTTCCTGCATCCTATTATCCTGGAATACAAAGGAAGCACTGAGTTCCATAAAAACTAGGTTGCTACTGTCAATATCTACCATACAAGTAACTTCATAATTATCAGACTAAAGACTTTTTTCCTACAACAAATTCCTCTTTCAAAGTATCAGCTTACTATTAAAAAAAGAAGAAGAAAAACTGACACACTCTTTGCAATAATAAGATCTTAAAGAAAAGGAATCAGCCGAAACCGGTTTGGCTCAGTGGTAGAGCATCGGTCTGCGGACTGGAAGGTCCCAGGTTCGATTCCGGTCAGGGGCATGTACGTTGGTTGCGGGCATATCCCCAGTAGGGGGTGTGCAAGAGGCAGCTGGTCGATGTTTCTCTCTCATTGACGTTTCTAGCTCTCTATCTCTCTCCCTTCCTCTCTGTGAAAAATCAATAAAATATATGTAAAAAAAAAAAAAGAAGAAGAAGAAGAAGAAGAAGAAGAAGAAGAAGAAGAAGAAGAAGAAAAGAAAAAAATAAAAGAGCCTTGCATGTTATTGACTTTTAATAAAAAAGAAAAGAAAAGAAAAGAAAAGAAAAGAAAAGAAAAGAAAAGAAAAGAAAAGAAAAGAAAAGGAATCAAAACTAGTTGAACTTCCAGGGATGCTTTTAGGCAGCTCCTGACTAAAACAAAGTGTTCCAGAAACATACCTGTTGGAGCCATCTTTCATATGAACTTTGGCATAAAGAACGTCCACCATGCCAGGATCATCATTCATGTATTCTATCCCTTCCATCTCTACTTCTAGGGGTTTGCCCCCAGCAATGTCGCTGCAAAGGAAAAACCATTAGATTTTTATAATTATTTATTTATATTTTGAAACATAGTTAATGTACATAGTCAAACTATAAATATTAAGTTGTTGGATTTTTTTTTTTTTTACTAACAACATTATTTAACTATCCTTCTAATTTAAAAATGAATATATGGCTGGGACCGGTTTGGCTCAATGGATAGAGCGTCGGCTTGGGGACTGAAGGGTCCCGGGTTCGATTCCGGTCAAGGGCATGTACCTTGGTTGCGGGCATATCCCCAGTAGGGGGTGTGCAAGAAGCAGCTGATCGATGACTCTCTCTCATAGATGTTTCTAACTCTCTCTCCCTTCCTCTCTGTATAAAATCAATAAAATATATTTTTAATAAATAAATAAATAAATAAATAAAAATGAATATATGTTTAATGCACACAGACTAGAAACATAGTATTTCCAAAGTCACACTCAAAAAAGCACTCACAGAAAAAGGCAAGCAATGATAGTTCTGATTGACAAAGACAATTGATGTGTTGACCATCTCTGAGGTTTTACATCATTGTTTCTACAAGTTGCACAATATTTCATTCATATAACAATGATGGGGGTAAAAAAGCTAATATCACATCTTTAAGTGCAATTTGACAATATTTATAAAAAGTCTTTAATAAAAGAAACCCTTCGCCCAGACAACCCAATTTATAGGAACCAACCCTAATGAAATAATTATGAATTCAACTACATATGCAATGATAGCTAATAAAGAACATTCTTCACAGGAGAATTCCAATTGATAAATGCAGAAGTAATGATGGAATTAGAGTATTACCATTTTGCCACTCCAGATAAAACAACGGATCTTGCAAGCTCACCAATGGATGCTAAAACTTAGAAAAAAAGGCTGGAGGGAACATAGAGACCCCTCAAAACAATGGATCAGGCTGATCACTCCCAAATGGACTGATCAAGCTTATCACACACACAAAGAAACGACCAAGCATTAGCCTCCCGATATGATGCAACAGGATTCTGACTGATGCATTGTTTGGAGTAGCAAAAGACTGGTAACAGGCTAAATGTCCAATAACATAAGACTGATTAAATATATCAAAACACTATGAGCAATAAATAAGCCATTCAAAACTAAGGAAGCTTTTAGGTACTGATACGTAATGATTATCTTTTTAAGTTTTAAAAAAAGGCCCTAGCTGGTTTGGCTCAGTGGATAGAGCATCAGCCTGTGGACTGAAGGTTCTTGCTTGATTCCAGTCAAGGGCACATGCCCAGGTGGGTAGGCTCGATCCCCAGTAAGGGGTGTGCAGGAGGCAGCTGATCAATGATTCTATCTCATCATAGATGCTTCTCTCTCCCCTCTCCCTTCCTCTCTGAACTCAATAAAAATATTTTTTTAAAGTACACAGCAATGTATATACTACTATTTATGAAAAAAATGGGGATAATAAAAAAATATATATATACACATTTATATATATATTTGCTTATACGTACATAAAAGCTCTGGAAAGAAACAAGGACACTGCTAACATATGCTGCCTTTAGAGAGGATAGCAGGGTGCTTGGTGGGATAGCAGTGGGAAGAAAACTCTTCAATGCATATCCTTTGTACCTTTAACTTTCTGAACCATGTAAGTGTATTCTCTATTAAAAAGTTTTTTTAAAAAAAAATTTAAATATGCAAAGGAAGCCAAACAGAAAAAATTTATATGCCAAATGATTCAATATATATAACATTAAAGGACAAGCCAGATTAACCTATGGTAATAGAAATCAGAACGGTAGTTACTCCTCAAATAAGTGAATTTACTGGAAACGGGTAAAGCACAAAGGAACTTCATGAGGTGATGGCAACGTTCTACATCTTGATTTGGGTGTGGTTACATTTGTCTTAACTCACTAAACTAACATGTATTACTTTCATGCTAAGTGAAGCCTACCACCTTGCTTTTATCCCAGACCCCGAAATAGACTTATTCTTCAACCAGAGAAGGCCTTGCTGGGCCAGGCTAAACCCAACTAAAAATTAGCTCACCACACACAGCCTTCTCCAAGCCCAGAAGGACGGGGGCATCTATCTTGTCCACTCCTATATCCCCTGCACTGGCACAGTGCCTTACATAAATCTCTGTAAACACTGACTTGATGTTCTACTATAAAGGGAGAAGCTGTTCTGCACAATTTTGAGAAGAATGTGGACACATGTGATACTGTTATTGAATAAAATGTCATGCTGGCTCAAAGACAAAAGGCTCTAGGATGCACCAAAAGACAATTCCAAAAGGCAAAACAAGAAAGTTCTCTTGATATTGAATTAAAGCCATAAAAATACTATTTGTAGATTAGGAATCCCAATGGTAAAGATTCATTTAAAACTTCAAGGCCATAGTATTACCTAAAACCAGAATTTATCTCAATAAAAAACTAAACAATTGAACTATTCTAGACAGATATTTGAAAGAGAAAAATTACAGCCTTGATCATAAGTATCCTATAAATACCTCTAATAAGTGGGATATTCCAAAAACACAAGCCAATCTCTGAACTATTATCTGAGGCCTATAGCTTCAATCAACAATCCAATGTATCTCCATTCTGAGTAATAGTCAAAGAATTCAAATGAAAGACTGCTATTTAATCCTATCAAAGTGCCCAACAAAACTTCTTTTTAAAACAGTTTAATACCAACCATACATTTCCCTACATTTTTTCAGCTTTAACCCCACAGTCAGATCACCAGAAAGCACCATATCATTAGTTTAGTTTCCTACTAAAATGTTCTCACTGGGTTAATATTTAATACTAGAGGCACAAAATTCATGCAGTGGGGTTGGGGGTGTATGTGTCCCTTAGCCTGGCTGGCGCCCTCTCACAGCCAAGGATCTCTCTTGAAGTCTGGGATGCCTCACTCCTTAACACCCACCTGCAGCGGAAGCAGGAGAGGTTCCTGCCATCTCAGCTGCACTTGCCAGCAGAGAGCCTGGATTCTGGGAGCCCACTGACCATCAGAGGGAAGTTCCTGCATTGAGCGTCTGCCCTCTGGTGATCAGTGTGTGTCATAGCGACCAGTCATTCTGCCGGTCATTCCACCATTGGGTCGATTTACATATTAGGGTTTTATTATATAGAACTAGAGGCCTGAGGCAAGAAATTCATGCACAGTTAGGGTCCCTAGGCCTGACCAGTAATTAGGGACCTTCCTTCCAGCTGTTGGCTACCAGACAGGGTATTCCTTTGTTCCACGCCACCCCCAGGTGGTCAGCACACATCATAGCGAATGACTGAACTCCCAGTCTCCTGGTCGAACTCCCAAGGGGACACTTTGCATATTAGCCTTTTATATAAGATTATATCCTCAACTTCTAAAGGTCAATACAGCCGAGACCGGTTTGGCTCAATGGATAGAGCATCGGCTTGGGGACTGAAGGGTCCCAGGTTCGATTCCGGACAAGGGCATGTACCTTGGTTGCGGGCATATCCCCAGTAGGGGGTGTGCAAGAGCAGCTGATTGATGACTCTCTCTCATCGATGTTTCTAACTCTCTCTCTCCCTTCCTCTCTGTACAAAATCAATAAAATATATTTCAAAAAAAATAATAAAAAATAAAGATCAATACAAGAAAAAGAAATGTGAACAATGTTCTTATATCTTCTGGAAAACTGTAAAAAATACTGCTTATCCTCATTCTGGGTTATTTATATTAAGATTTATGTAACCAGTTTTTCTCTTGACTTTAGAACCAGAAAAAGATTCTCTCCTAAAAAGTAGTTATGCTCCTTTTTATCAGATAAGAACTATAGCCCTCGCCGGTTTGGCTCAGTGGATGGAGCATCAGCCTGCAAAATGAAGTTCCCGGATCAGATGACAGTCAAGGACATATGCAGTTGGTAGCAGGCTCCTCACAGGCCTTGGCCAAGGTCAGGGCATATGCAGGGGGCAACTGATCGATGTGTTTCTCCACATCGATATTTCTCTCTGACTTTCCTCCTTTCTTCCACTCTCTATAAAAATCAATGGGAAAATATCCTCGTGTGAGGATTAAAAAAAAAAAAAAAGAACTATAATAACTGCTATGTTTCTTTCTGGAATTTAGTTCAACTATACTGGTGCTCAAAAACAGCATTAAATTTTAATGCTCAAGTACAGTTATCTTACCTTGGTTTTCAGGTAGAATTTTCTCCCTATTCCACCTCTATGGTTTCTGAGCTCTCTGACTTTAACATTTTTTTTTTTTTTTTTTTTGTATATATGTCCTCACTATAAAAGTTTTGATCTCAAATCCTTGGAATGAGAAGAGATGCCAAGAACAACAAAAAAATGAAGCAGGATCCACAGCCTACCCTGTGAGTAGAAACTGAAACTCTTTCAACATATCCCTAGGATTTATCGAGAGGGAGATTAAAGAACAGGATGGTTTGCCTGATAAATGCTCTTCGTCTTGGTGATCAAACTATTCCACCTGGAACACCAGTGAGCACATTTTTCAATTCAGTGACATCTGAGGCGATAATTAGGAACTAACATTGCCCATGGGTATTTTTCCTCCTCCTCTCTCCTTACTCTTGTCCCTTTGTAACTTACTTGGTTTAACCTCAGGCCTACTGGGAACACTTAGGAACAAGCAGAGTGACGCTGGAGCTACAGAGTGCTGCCTATTGGTCGGACTATACTCTCAGAGCCACTGCACTGTTTGCGCTCTGTATCTCACAAAGAAAAGTCACAAGGGACACAAGCAGAGCTTCAGTGTTTCCCAGACTCTGTAAATAATTCACTGTGAACAATTCTAAATAGCTGCATGAGTCTTTAGCCTAAGAATTGAAATCAAAGTTGTTTCTCATCAGCATCCTTAAACTCAAAACTACCACCAAATTTAAAATATTCAACCATCCATTTCTTTAAAATATCTACATAGTACTACAGTTTTAATTAAATTCCAATATAACCATATATTTAATACTTTAATTCTAAAAGCCATCAGGTTAAACTATAGCAAATTATACACTAATCTATTCATTTTCAATGTTTTTATTTTCTATATTTAAATTTGAGATCTTTAAATCATAAAAGGTTAGAAATGTCATTGTTTACTGAAATATAAAGGCTAACATCAAAGAACAAAAATAAAGAAAAAAAAGATTAGATGATACATTTTACTTACTAGACCTGTAATATAAGCTTTTTTTTTAAAAGAGATATTTCTTCTCTTTAGGAGAACAAAGCACTTCTAACCAATCCAAACAACCAATTGAGTCTCATCCTCCTCCTCAGAATAAATTAATTTTGCTTTGTGTACTTTCTAAACAAGTGTGTGTGGCAGAGGGAACCATGGGAGAAGAGGGTTGGAGAGGCTTGTTTTACTTGCTGATTTCAAATCTTTCCAGCTTCTTGAAAAGAGCATGTTCAAAAATTTTTGCCTGCATTGCAGATTTTTGGCAGGGTAACTTTGTCCTATTTCAAAAGCTTTGCTGAATTTGAAAAACTACAATTACTGTTTTCATCCTGTCACGTCAAAAATTCTTAGGAACTATTAAGGCTGATCTTCGTTGCCTATGCACATCAACCCCAACATGCTTAAAGGGCTTAGATTTGGCCCTTAGTCACAAAAAGCACCCAGAGACATAAAAAAAGGAACTCAGCTAAATCCTCACATAGCTCAGGATAAAACCTCGGTGATTAAAAACCTGTGACCCGATTTTTTAATTTTTTTTTATTTAAGAAGAAAGTTTATTTAATGAGTGTTTGGTATCTTATGGAAACTCCAGGATTCTGACACAATCAGATTCAGTGCCATCTAATCAGGAACAACAGGCAAAAAGTAAAAAATTGGTGCAGTGAGGAAAACACAGCTGCTGCAGCATCTTAATCTGCTCAGTCTGTCATCAAAATACCAGACACTTGGTGGCTGAAACAACAGACATTTATTCTCACAGATCTGGAGGCTGGGAAGTCAAGATAAAGATTCTGCCGATTTGGTGAGAATTCTCTGGATTGCAGATGGCTACATTCTCACACACGGTGAAGTGATTTTTCATAAGGTTAAAAAATACTTCTCTAAACAAATATTTTATCCACCTTAAAATTTTTTTATCAGAATTCTTCCAATAGCAGCCAAGAAAATGCAGCCGCTTTCAGTTTTCTTTAGCAAAAAGTAAGGTATCAGAACTCATTCTAAAACCAGGTAAAAATTGCTCTGCTTTGTAAGGTAAAGCATAAAGTTTTCTTTTTTGCAAGGAAAATTATAAATACCTAACTACAAATTATTCTGAGTTTCAGGTAAGATTGAGAAAAGACAGTTATGTTCCTTACTGAGTAAACAAGCCAAAACTATTATTTGCTGTTTGAGATTCAGAAAGAATAAACAGACTGTATGATTTTGCTCAAGAAAATATTTTGTCTTCAAAACAATGGAAAAGGAGAAGAGACCCACAAATTAAGTCATTGTATTAAATAGTTTTATATACAACATAACTAGAGAAAATTTTTTAATCTTTTTACCTTGTTTCACCCAATAAACCAGATAACCCATTTCTACAAGGCAATGATACAATAGCATGGGACCTGAATATTGTAATAAATTTTTAAAATCTATTTAAGTGAGCCAATTTTCTTTCTTTCTTGTTTTTTAATCCTCACCCAAGGGGGTAGGGAGGAGGGAGAGGGAGAGAGAGGGGCTGAGAGAGAGAGAGAGAGAGAGAGAGAGAGAGAGAGAAACATGGATCAGTTGACTTCCTCAATGCTCAACCAACTGAGCCACCCTGGCTGGGCTCAAGTGAATCAGTTTCCAAATATCCCTTGTTCTTTCTCAATCCTAAGTAAAAGGAGTAAAGTGAGAGGTGGGAAGAGATGTTTCTTTGAAATAAAGCCGATATGGGTTTTACTGGGCTAAAATCAAGGTGTGGCAGGGTTGTGTTCCTTGGGTTGATGTATGTATAAATTAAAATTTTACAGTAAAAAGAAGAACAACTCTGCAATGTTTTCACTGAGCCAAAACATTTGCTTCGATAGTCTTTTGGTGTCCTCATATTGATTTACACAAAATTGCCTGTATTAAAAAAAGAAAATTAAAGTCTCCATTTCTGAAATACAATGAAGACTTTCCTAGAGAATCAAGTTATAGTGTTGAATTACTGTGGTAAGCAGAAAAAATGGCTCTCCAAAGATGCCCACATCCTACTATCTGGAACCTGTAAATTCGCTATCTTGTATGGCAGGGACTTTGGCAGATGGGCTTTAGGTTATGGAGTTTGAGATGGAGAGATTATCCTTGATTATCTGGATGGGCTCAACCCAAGGAACACAACCCTGCCACACCTTGAGAGTCCTTAGAAGCAGAAACCTTTCCCGGCAGTGGCCAGAGAGAGAGGTGTGACCACAGAAGAAGAGTCAGAGAGATACGACGCTGCTAGTGTTGGATACAGAGGAAGGGAACCACTAGCCAAGGAATGTGTGTGGCTGCTAGAAGCTGGACTTGAAAGGCAAGGAAACAGATTCTTCCCAAAGCCTCCAGGAAGGAACGCAACCCTGCCACACCTTGATTTGTAGCCCAGTAAAACCCATGTCAGACTTCTCCCCACAGAACTACTATACATAGTACATTTATATTGTTTTAAAGCACCAACCTTACAGTAATACAGAAAACTAATATAGTAGTCTATACTCTTTGATGGATAATGAAGAGAATTTCCTTTTGGAGAAAATAATGGCATGTCCTATTTTTTAATTTAAAACAAAACTTGCCTACTAAACTAGTATATTTTAAGGTAAAGGTTTTCCATAAAAATTTATAAGTACATTTTAAACCTTTCAGACAATGGTTCAATGTTAAGTGTTACAAATGGGTGAATCAACAAACCTTATCCCCATGTCACCCTGCTCTCTAGTGCAAAAACAAGTCTTTGATACCCCAAAAAAGCCAGTACAGGTGACCAGCCTTCCCCACACCTGTGCATTACTCACTCAATGAAATCCTCTTTACACCGCTTTAGCATCTCACATGTCTGCTGGATCTCTTGCTCATTTAAAAGTACCAACATCCCAATAGTTAGGTGAAGTTTTTTGGGATTCTGGAAAATGGTGCTATCAACTCCATGATCCTGTTATAAGAGGGAGAAAAACAAGAAACTCAGCCCATACAAAAGCAAATGGTAAGAATAAACTTTAGAGTCCAGACATAAACCCCACACATTTATATATAATTAACTAATTTTTAACCAAGATGCCAAGACAATTTAATGGAGAAAGGAGAGTCTCTTCAACAAATGATGCTGGGACAATTGAATATCCATATGCAAGAGAATGAAGTTAAACCCTTACCTCACACTATATACAGAAATATATTTAAAAAAAAAAAATAGAGGCCCAATGCAGACTCATTGGGGGCCGATCGGGGCCCATATCAGGGGTCCCTTGGCCTAGCCTGCATCCTCTCGCAATCCAGGACTCCTTGGGGGATTCGGAGGCCTGGTGCACAAATTCAGCCCAATCCCCACAGACCAGGCCAAGGGTCCCCCCGGTGCACAAGCCCGTGCATCACTGGGTCTCTAGTATGCATATAAGATCTTTGGTTAGTCTCTTCCCATCTTCCTCCCTCCCCCTTCCCTCTAAGATTCATCAGTATGTTCCATGTTTCCATGCCTGTGCATTGTCTGCCCCCTAATGGTCAGTGGCATCATAGCTACTGGTTGAATAGTCGCTTAGGCTTTTATATATATACTGGAGGTCTGGTGCACGAAATTCGTGCACCGAGGGGGAGTTCCCTCAGCCCAGCCTGCATCCTCTCCAATCGGGGACCATTCAGGGGATGTCTGACCACTGGTTTAGGATTGGGCCTAAATCAGTGGTCGGACACCCCTCTCATAATCTGGGACCGCTGGCTCATAACCACTCACCTGCCTGCCTGCCTGATTGACCTTAACCCCTCTGCCTGCCTGCCTGATCGCCCCTAACCTCTCTGCCTGCCTGCCTAATCACTCCTAACTGCCTCTGCCTGCCTATTTGATTGCTCCTAACTGACTTCCCCTGCTGACCTGATCGAGCCCCCAATTTCTCTCCCCTGCCAACCTGATTTCACCCCCAAATGCTTCTGCCTGACTAATCACTCCTTACTACCCTCTCTTGCTGGCCTTATCTGGCCCCCATTGGCCCTCCCCTGCTAGCCTGATCTCATCCCCAACTCCTCTCCCCTGCTGGCCTGATAGTCCCTAACTGCCTCTGCCTGCCTCATGCTCCTAACTGCCCTCCCCTGCTGGCCTGACCACACCTGCCTGTGCCTGCCTGATCACCCTTAACTGCCCTCCCCTGCTGGCCTGATCTGCCACCTACTGCCCTCCTCTACTGGCCAATTTAGTTCTGATTGGTCAGTTTCTATGCCAGTCAGCATCAAAAGCTCTGCCTCCTCAGCAGCCATTGGCTCCTTACATTCACCCAGATTTTGTTCTGATTGGTCAGTTCCTATGCCAGTCAGCATCTCTGGGTCTATCAATGGGGCCTGATCAGAAAGGCGAGGCTAATCAGCAGCCCTGGTGGAGGTCTGGAGAGAAATGGAGGCACAGCTGTTGGCCAGGCCAGGAGAGAAAGAGAGGCAAGTTCTGATCAACGGCTGCCAGAGGTTATAAATTAGACCCTGCCTCTCTCTCTACAGGCCTCTCTCCGGGCCTAATCCACAGCCCCCCAGGCAGTCAGTGCTGGGTCAGGGTACTGGCAGCGGCCCCAGTCAGTGCTAGGTCACCATGGCAACCCAGCACTGACTTCCAGTCTGGTCGAGCCTTTGGTCATAACAGTCGTTATGACCCTGGCTCTTTATTATATAGACTAGAGACCTGGTACATGAATTTGTGCATGGATGAGTTCCGGCCGGCTGCCCCAATAGGGGCCCATCGGCTGGGCTGGAAGAGGATAGGGGCCGCAGGTGTTGAGGGCCAATCAGGGCCCATATCAGGATGGTTGGCTGCTGTAGTGTGCGTCATAGCCACCAGGTGTTCTGGTGGTTCTGGTTGTTCCTCCATTCCAGTCACTGGGCTTTTATATATATAGATATTAGCGGTCCAATGCATGAAATTCATGCAAGGGGCTTGGCCCTTGCAGCCCTGGCCAGCTCTTGCAGATCCAACTGACCCTAAATACTTCAATATATATTTCCTACAAAACCATAGTCTTTAAAAATAACAGCCATGATATTTTTAGCAATGATTTGCCATCCACATCCTAATTTTGTCAATCACAGCATTTTTTCCCTTCTAACACAGATCCAGTCTAGGATTAAGCCTTCTATTTAGCTGTCAAGTCTCTGCAGTTTCCTTGGATCTGGAACATTCCCACAGCCTTTCTTTGTCTTTCTTGACATTGACTTTGTTTTAAAAAAAAAAAAAAAAAAAAGACTACTTCTTTAATAATAATAATAATTTTTTAAAAAAATAGTAAATGCTTTTGGGGTCTGTCTGATGTGTCCTCATGAGTTGACTTAGGTTATACATTTCTGGCTAGAAATGCTGTCTACTAAGAAAAACTTTTCTCTTACTGAATTATCTAAAATTAATGCAGAACCAAACAATCTTCAAGGCAATGGGATAAATCCCTAGAGCCACTATTTTTATTTATTTATTTTGCTTGGAATATATCATATTCCCACCCACATTCTCCTTTGAAATGAATCAAGACCAACATCAAATTTTTACTCCAGGGACTTAGTTACACTGGGCCCTCCTCCAAGTTCACCATTACTTGGAGCTGGAACTATTTTACTCCATTAGGTTAGCCAACCAGGCTGGCGCCTGGAAAAAAAAAAAATTTTATTTTTATTTATTGATTGATTTTACAGAGAGGAAGGGAGAGGGATAGAGAGTTAGAAACATCGACCAGCTGCCTGCAGCACGTCCCCTACTGGGGATCGAGCCACAACCAAGATACATGCCCTTGACCACAATCAAACCTGGGACCCGTCAGTCTGCAGGCCAATGCTCTGCTCTATCCACTGAGCCAAATCGGTTAGGGCTGGCGCCTGAAAATTCTAATAGTGATTACCTTCCACCAGGCAAGGAGAAGCAAAGAGTAAAATAACAGGAATTCCCTGGGGCAGTCTTATCTAGATGGATTGGGGAAAAGTGTTTCTTTATGGTTATGTCACATCAGAAAGCCTCAGTTTCTTTATTTGTTAAATAAGGTTTCATCCAAGGAAACAATGCATGCAAAGGCTACCTCCATAGAAAGCATATGTGCAGGCCTACCCCACAGTTCAGAGTTCAAAATCCTGTCCTAACTCAACAGTCCCAGGTGCAAAACCTTAACTCTCTCACTCAAACTGCAACTTCATGAAAATAATAATAATAATAAATAAATTGGGGGGGGGGGGGGACCACAAAACTGCAGCTTTGTGGTTTACCACTAGCAATCACCACATTATTGCTGGCCCTTCATTGATTTCACTTTTAATCCAGCACTCAGGCTCCCATGGGGCAGAACTGCTGGCAATGCTGTCAGCATGAGCAATTAACAAGGTACAATGAAATCTAAAAACGTGAAGCTTGGAAAAAGGCCAGTAAGAGAGAACTATGGATTAGCCCCCCATGGAACATTCTCTCTGCTTCTTTAATGCCTGGGTTAAAATTCAACCATCCTTTCCACACAAATGGAATAAAATGCAGGTGCATCTGCCAGAGCTGTCAGCGAACAAAAGGGACCCTCTCTTCAGACTCGGACCCCAAAGGTCATGATCCATTGCACAAGTTAAGAAAGGAATACTATGGCCGTGGCTGTTTTGGCTCAGTGGCTGGAGCACTGGCCCTAGGACTGAAGAGTCCCATATTCACTTCTGGTCAAGAGCACATACCTTGTTTGCAGGCTCAATCCCTACCTCCCACCTCCATTGGGAGTGAGTGCTTCAAGAGACAACCAATTGATGTATCTCAAATCGATGTTTCTTTCTTTCTTTGTGTCTTTCCCCTTCGTTTCCACTCTGTCTAAAAATCAATGGAAAAAAATATAAGCTTTGGTGAGGATTAACAAAAAATAAAAAATAAATTTAAAAAAGAAAAGAACACTATTAATCTGATCCAAATGTGTACCACCCAGAATGTAAATAATGTATAGCACTTGCCTTGACAGTACATGCTAAGAACCAGAGACAAAAAAAATTTTTTTTAATCTTCATGTTATATTCACATATATCTTTTAGGAATTCGAGGCATAACAAAAGTTCGTAACTCAGGTGTAAAAGGCCTTTAATTGGAATAGAATCTAGAGTTCTAATTCCAAGTCTGTTACAAACCAGTAATTAGGCAAGCCATTTCACTTCTCTTGACCCTCAGTTTCTTCCCCTGTAAGATAAGGGAGATGGCCTAGCTCACCTCTAGGTCAAGGGTCCTATAAATTTTTAAATGCTCCCACAATGCCTCTCAATAAGTATAGGTATTTGTGTGGGATCCAACAATTCACTTCCTAATATTCAATGCAAAGAAAAAGAGGAAATAAACATGAGGAAATAAGCCTGAAAGACTTCCCCTATGCTCATTATATTTTCTTTCTTTTTTTATGGCCAAATCCCATAAAATCATTGCTGGGCAGGTAACATAAACCTTATCACATAAGAAAGTTATTCAAATAAGGCATACTGGTGAAAAAAAGCATTGGCTTTGCAACCAGACAGGCCTAGATTAAATTCTAATTCTGCCATCTATCAGCAGTGTGACCCCAAGTGAGTTAATCTCTCTGGAATTCAATTTCATCATCTATAAGCAGACAACATTTCCTTCTCAGGGTTGTTCTGAGGATTAAATAAAATATATGTGAAGCCTCTGGAACATAGTAGATAAATATGATAAATGATAAATACACACTTTCCCTCTTCTAGCCTTTTACATAACTATGCAACACTCTAAACCATCTCTGCTCTTCCATCTAAGTCACCAGAGTGCGAAATTAGGCTCTGATGAGTCACTTCTATTATTCTTTAAGAATGTTCACAAAAGCTGACTTTGATTTGAGCTTGTATTAGTGTTAGTAATAATAAAATACCTTATTTTGTTGAATAAACTTCAGAAAACAGGGTTTTGATTGTTCTGGCTTATCAATTCTATACAGACATGATTATGTGAAAATG